TAAGAAATTAAGGTGAACAAAGTTATAAATGAGTTAAAAATGGAATTAGAGAGGTTCATGGAAGAAGGTGAAGGTTTCCATGGCAGCTATTAAACATAACTGTCCAAGATGGAGTCTGCTCATTCAAATTAACTTTAAATCCGTGATTTAACAGAAAGTGGGAGGAGTGTGCCCTAGTTTTAGACTCTTCTTTAACTGCCTCTGAGCCATGGTCAAAGACAGCATTCAGGATAATGGCAGGACTATTCCTGCAAGTTGGGGACCTTGGATTGTTTTCTCCAGAAATAGGAGATACACATTTCAGTGCATATTTCTATAGTTTTTAAAAGTTGCACTGAATGTTGCTTCTTATATTATATTATTCAGGCTCCTGTCTGTTTTAGGTAAGGAGATAATTCACAGATGTTCATTAGGAACTCACAGTGATCAGGGAGGTTGGATCTTTTACTGGAGTCCTCTAGTCTTCGAGCAGCTGTGCAAGTCTTGGGTAGGAATTATGTATTTATTGTTGCACACTCAACTTACAGAATGGATCCAAGTGATGCTTCAGTTTTGTATTTCTGGAAACTTCATGCTGCAGTGTTCTCTACTACTTTTCTGATGTCAAAATGATATCATAAGCAGCTTCAGTATGTGGCAGACAAGACAGATTTTTGCGTCACACACATAACTGCGTATCAGACAAGATAGACTGAATAGATTCTTCCTCTCTCTCCTTGATAACGATGATGTTTGGGGGGTTTTCTGTTGCATTCTTTTTTTTCTTTTTGATTTCATACTGGTACAGATAGAGGAATTTGGTTGAATACAGTCTTATTTAGATTTTGATTTCAGGTAATTAGGGAAGAAAAAAATACCAGAAATTACTTCTTACACAAATTCTTTTTATCTGTACCGTATTGATAAACGGCAGGCTCAGGCGTTTTTTTGGAATCAGTATGTTGGCGTGTACTTGAGGCTTATATTCCAGGTTTATGTCAGTATGTTGATTATTTCTGAAAAAAATTTGGCTGGTACATAGTGAATTATACTGTTGAGTTCTTCAGGATTGAAACAAACATTTACAAATACATCACAGTCCTTTTTCCACTGTTCTTTCATTTTTCTATTCTCTGTTTCTGGAAGGAGTAGTAACATAAGACTGGGGAGCTGGTGTGGATGGGATGGAATTTCTGGGAGAGAGATTAATTTCAGTATTGAAAGCAGATAACTATTTGATTTTACTTTAGATTATTAAAATTCTACTTGGGTTTCAAATCCTAGTGTATTTAGTAAAGAAAAAAAGCTAATGTCATTAGCATTTTCATTTATGGATAATTCTGGTTTGCGTTGTCCTTTCCCATGAGTAGTTTTAATATTGGTGCTATCTATTCCAGGACAAGAGAAAGCAAAGATTGCTTTTGGGTTTAGGGTTGGGAATTTACTTGAGCATGAATCCCCGAAGAGCAGAACCACTTGAGTTCTGTTTAGCACTACCTTAATTGGTTGAAATGTTTCAGGAGATAGATATTGTATAAAATATCTTCCATCATTTAGAAATGCATGTGAGATTATTTTAAGAGTATGAATTGTAAGAATTACCTCAGTTACTAGTTCACAATTTTTGAACTGTGGAAAAAAAATGCATAAGCTTTGGGATGAACGTTAGTTCTCTTTATAACTAACTGCAGTATTTTGAGATATGTACATAATTATTACTATATCTATACAGCATAACAACATTTCAGTGGAATTACTCTGGCTGTATACCTCTTTAGCAGGATATATGCCTTGATCCTGAACTCTTGGAAAATATTTTCTGGTTATATTAATAAGTACAGCAATACAGATTGTTAAAGCCCAGGGAAGCCGGTGTTTTACCTTTATTGCAAATCTGGTTTGCAAGTGAGTGCATATGATGACATGTACATCCTTTCCCTTCTAGACTTCCAGAAATCAACAAAAACTGTAATTAAATTTTGCTATTATAATCCACATTTTATATCTGTTTGAAGAGCAAAATCTAAATGAGTGAAGTCTGCAGATTCATAAGGTATAGGCTTATATTTCAGATTTGGTTCCTGAAAATATGTGCTTTTCCTGGAATAAGTTCCGAGAGGGTGTGCATTGGTCAGAAATAGGCACAAGTTCCCAAGCTCTAAAGATCTTAGTATTTCATAGCTCTTCCCATCTGGATTTCAGCCTAATTTGACACATATATTGTAGTTGACCTCAGACAGAATAATTCAGATGTTTGAACCTCTTAGATGTGTAGCCAAAAGCGAATTGTCTTCTTGCATGTATTTTTAAACATCTGCAAGCTGAGCTGGGAAGTAAAATGCAAATTCTAGGACTTGAAGATACCTGTGAGGTTATGAAAATCCCTTTGGGACTGTGGGGAATCCTGGGGCTTACGAACATGCTTTTTTCAGGCATGCTGTATTTAGAAATTTAGTATTTGCTTTCATTTCTCTTAACTGAAGTACAAATGACAATAGAAGTAGTTCATCAATAATTTAATAGTAAAGATAATATCTTTTGTTGAACCTTTTAATGCATATTCCATGAGGGCTAGAGGAATCATTTCCTGCAGTTTGTATTTCTGCTATGTTTGGATATAAGAATCATTTATTGTTCATGTATGCCCAAAAAGATTAATATTGTAGCCAGTTAATACCAGCGGAACTGTTTCTGTCAGTAGCTCTCTTTTACTCAGGTAAGTGCCAATATATAGACAAATGAGGTTTCCAGTATATGCAGAGGAACTCCCATGCCTTTTAGTTAGGAATAGGAAGGGGCTAACTTCCCAGCTCATAATCATATGATCATGTGGGGTTTAGGTGGGGAGTTTTGAGTTAGCACTTTCAAACTGTTGGCTAATATAATGATGTGTTCATTGTTTTAGCTTGATTACATGTTGCATATATATGTAAATGCCCTACTTCAGTTGTTCAGTAACTTTTGCTTGAGATAACGCATTCTCTGACCATGTTTCTCTAAAAGCAGTGTGGGAAAGCCTGCATTTCAGTAGGATGTCATACATCCACCAGTTGACCTTTGAGGGAGAATGGTATTTAAGCATTGATTTTTGAAATACTTACATTGTCTGTAACCACGGGTTTGATTCCAAGAAGGGATTGTTTGGTCCTTCACCACTATAAAGCCTATAGCATGGGCTCTGCTGAGGTGGTGATGTTTTTTTTTCTGTGGAGGTTGTTCTCTCAGCTACAAAAACACCATTGCTTTTTCTGTAATGGTAAGTTCTTGCTTTTAGCCAAACTCCTGTTCAGTCATAGGTTCATAATTTGGACCAACCCTCTTCTACCAGCCATCCTGAACAAAGTTGCTTTTCAGTGGTTGATGAAATGACTTGGTGCAGTGATGCACAAGCTAGTCACAAAGTCTTTGAAAAGTTGCAATCTGTTTTCAGGATCATTGTGAGCATTGACTAGAACAGTAAAAGATCTCTTGTGGTAAGGAAATTGGTGTGAGCCACAATGTTTTAGATGACTTTGCATCATGTGCTGTGATGCAACTAGAGTAGGTTCAAAACTTTCCTTACACTTGCTTAGCTCCAGTCTTGTAAAGTCCTTTGCTGTAAAAGCTGTTGTTTTGTGAAAGTGAACAAACCACACAGGCCCCTGCAAGTTTGTGAGTTGATATGGCATCCCCATACAGGATCTGCTGCCAGTACGAATCTGCAGACAAGACCAAACATCCTATCAGCTCTCCACAGCAATCCCTTTTCTTCTGAAGATCTTGTTTTGAAAAATAGACAAATATGTTAGTCTGGGATATTAAGTTTTCTTGGCTTTGATTTTTATCAGGAGAGTGGAGTGCATTGCTTGAGGAAGCAGTAGAAATTTCCATGTTTTGTATAATATTGGGGTCCTGTTTGTCTCCTCATCCTCAGCAATGAGGCATGCAGGAACTACTTCTTTGACTAGTCCCCTCATTGATCTTATTTCACTAAACAATATCTCATATCCTGGCAGTGATAACTGAGTGTGGTATCTTTTTCAGTCAATGGATGTGAGGAGCTGTGGTTATGATCTATTTCCCATCTGTGCCATGGGAATTAGCGGTCTTTCTCCCATGTGCCTCAGTAAAATGTTGGCCTTGAGCTTCAAAAACTTGAGGTGGAGAAAAAACAGAGAAATAACTTAGCTCCATTCCATAAAGCAAAATACCCAGCAAAAAGATCCAGATGGGAATCTGAGCATTAAAACCACCGTGTTTAGGAGTGGTGATTTGGTACCTCAGCAACCAGGAGTAGGAAGTGGCCTTAGCTGGTGTAATTTCAACTGAAGATGATAAGACTGTAGTATTTTTCTGAACCAGAAGAAATGTGTTAGAGAACGCCCTCAAATCCTTTTTTTATTAATCTTTTAAAATCCTGGTTTGAAAGGTGCCAGTGACTTTCAGGGATGCATACTGTCTGGGAAAGCAAAGGTCCTCTGAGACTGGCAGTTTTGTGGTGATGAGCTGAGAAACAGCTGCCTGAGCAGTGTTTCAGGAGAATGAAAACAAGGAGGGAGATCTGCTACAGCTTGTTTGCAGAGAACATCGGTGTGCTGTGGTTTTCCGAGGTTTTCTTCCCTTGTAATTGTGACACTTTTGATTAACTCTGAAGTTTTCGGTGGTGTCTCATTGCGAGATAAACTGAAGTGTAGAGCCTGTTAAAGACCTACTTCAGCTATTAAGTGAAGCTTAATCTGTAATGAGCTTGAAAGGAAAACGTTTCTTGGAAAAAAAAAATATAATTAATCAGGGGCTATCAAGTCAAGCTTTTATGTGAGTCTAAGTGTATTTGGCAGTGTGGCTGTTTTTGTGAGTTTATTTCTGTCATGTCTTAAACACTACACTTGTCACAAAGCAACTCCAACTGTGTCATTTCAAACTAGGATGTCACCTGTATTGTAGAAAACAACCTTTGTACTTCGTGCTTTTCAGGCCTTGCTGACAGAGCAGTAAAGCTACCACAAATCATCTTTCTCTCACCTTGTGCTTTCACTTCACAGATGCTGGGGGCTCGCTGAGCCGTCACTGACCCTCTGCAGCAAGACTGTGCCGAGCAGGAGGGCTGCAGTGAGCCTCTTCCTGCATCCTGCAGGAGCCTGGCACTGAGCGTGGCAAAACTCTCTGGGGGGTAACACAGGTGGGTGAAAAATGGGAGGGACATGTCTCCTTATTGATTTTGCATTAATGTTTGACACATAGAGTAGGGATAATATTCCAATTACCCTCAAGACACTCACCATTATACAAAATAAATGTCAGCGCTTGCCCTCCGTAGTGCACGCAGCCTTCTAACGCACGCACTTAATTTGAAGATTTCAGAATTTTAGTTTGTCCATTCCTTTCTCTTGGCAAAGTACAATTAATTAGTATGTCCTCAAATAATAATTAAAATGTAATCTCAGGGCTTTTTTTTCTGCTCCTTGCTGTTTTTGGGAGCGTTAGAGCAAGAATAAATGTCCAGGCTTGTCAACAAGGTTAAATGCTTAGGTCGGATCCGTCCTGTTTTCTCCTGTTCTCTGCTGCACTTCTCCTCGCATCTCTTAGCCTTTCTGTTGAGTTCTTAGTAAAGGACCAGTTTCGGAGAGTCAGTACTGGACAATGCTGATGCTGAGCATAGATTAATTTCTGATAAATCATGAGTCAGTGATTGGACAAAACATGACTCTCGGGCCTCAGATTTGGAGATATAGTTCTTATTTGTTTTTTTTAAAACAATTCCTATATTTTTCTCAAATTTGTTTTCTAAGCTACTAAGATTGCACTTGGGTGCAAGCTTTTGTAATTTTATTGCCTGTGAATGGTGCAGGTTTCATAGCTAGAGACTGAAATCACTTTTTAGTCCAACAAAGGTGCACAGAAAAAAAGAGAGAAAGATACTTTCGCATTCTACTTTGTCAGAGTAGGAAGGTTGTAGTGTGGGAACTCTCTGAGATTTGCAGAGAAAAGTTTTGTTCTTTTTTTCAGTCTTCTGCTGAGAATAGCGACTGTAAATGTCATTGTGGAGAACACCATCCACTGACACATGGGGAGAAATAGCTAATTAACATATTTTTTTGCCTAGAGAAATAATCTGAATAATGTGAAATAATTTGATAGTGGCTATTCTGAACCCAAAAGGCAGGACTGGAAATGACCAGGGTGTGAGCTTTCTATGGTGATTGAAATCACCCAGACAAGCGGGACCTGTGCAACTCATGCATGTAGATAGTATCTTCTGGGATGAGAACTTGATTTTTCATTGTATATTTTCTGGAGCTGTTTCTGCCTTTCAGTGGTCTTTAATTTCTTATAGACTAAAAAAAATAAAAAATAAAAAATAAAGGTATAAATTATCTTAGGAAGAAACTGTAGAGATACCAAATCAGCTGCTTGAAATAAATAAATTCTTTTTAGGAAACACAGAAATACTCACTTGTTTACTTAAACAGCAGCTGCTTTGTGGTCTCTGTGCCTAGTCTTGGGCAGGTAATATATTCAAGGCTTAAAGAACAAAGAGGTGTAAGCTTCATCTCTTCTCCTTTTATTCTTTTGAATTACTATACAGTAATGTATGTAAGTGGCTTCTTTTGCTCCCTTAATAACTACCTACTTTCCTTGCTGTGTTTTCTTGCATAGGATCACAGATGACTACATATCTACTTCAGTGATATCAGAAATGGACTAGATAATGTTAGATTTCTATAATGAGATATCTCCAAAGTATGTAAAAAAAAAAGGGGGGGGGGGGGGGGGAGAAGAGAAAGATTACAATTTTTATGCTTGAAGAAATATAATACTGATTACAAACTAGGGCAGTGGAGAGGTATTGCTTAAAACTGTGTTAGTATTTCATATCTTAATTTTAAAATGGTACCACAACACATTGCACAAAAAAAAAAAAAATAAAGGAAATAAAAATTGACTTTTTGCTGTGTACCATTTTCAGTGTTCTTTGATTCATAAATATTTTAATTTCTTCCCTAGTAATCTGCCAAATCTAGAAACACATTCCATTATTCACAGTAAGTTGCTGAGCTTGATTTTAACTGGATATTACATTAAAAGTATTATTTATTTTTTTACTGACAATATGCTGGTGTGAATTGTAAACCAAGTTAATTGAATTACATTTTTCTATTACTTACTCTGTCAAACACATAAACTTTTTTCAATAGGATAGAAAATGTATTTTAACTTTCAGTAAGAAAGACAGACTCTTGCCCATTTTTTACTTAATGACACTTTTTTATTCAAATATTTTTTAAGAAAAGAAAATGAAGATTATTTAATGTTTTGGGTTTTTTTTTCACCAAGGACAACAACACTGAGAAGAGCAGAAACTTCATGAGGAGTACATTTCTCTGTTCTTAGGAGATGCAAATACCATTTGTTTTATCATGTTAACAAAGTTCTCATGTTGTGGAATATAGTCTGTTTATAGGTTCTGGTACAAAAAATTATTTTGAGATGCAGTTAAAGAAGTAAGCCTGTAATAGTTTATTATGTGAATTCCCATTGCTCGTTCCTATTGTGTGGGTAATGACTGGGGCCGAGAGTGAAATGAAATTCCCCACTGGGTAGATATACACCCATTTATTACTGCTTCTCTGGGTACCGAGTTATAGACTATATAGACTATATATACTATAGATACTGAGAACCTCCATAAGTTCTTAGCCTTTGACTCTGGATGAGTGAGGTCATTCCATGACATAAATCGCCTCCAAAGAAAAGCTCCTCTTCAGAAAGAGTTGTTGAAAGACTGTGGCCACATTATTAATAAAAAGCAGAGGTAACACAGAATCCCTGATGTCTCAGGATGATGTGGTGAGACTTTGACTTGTCCCACAGGAAGCGGTTTTATTTTACTTATTTTCTTCCAACAAGTTTTGGATTTACTGTGTTGCCACAGGCAGCTGCAATGCTTTCAGGTATTGAGTACAAAATGGAAATAGCAACTCTACAGTTGATAAGTTGTTGGAAATGTTTAGTGCCACAGCATGGCAAACCTACTTGGAATGTGTTATCTCTAACATACATTTCTACTTTGTAGTACATCTGCTCAGGCTTCCTGGGCAGCTTTAACTAGTAAGGAATAACGTGCAGGCATGCTCATGCTCTGGTAATGTCACAGTGCTGGCTATACATTATGGGGAAATACTGAGGGCAAGTGTCAAATGAGGATAATATTGCTTCAGTGAAAAAAGTCACTGTTGCTAATCGCTAGTGACAGACTTTGAATTGGTGAAGGGTATATAGTCAGGGGCTCATTGTTTCATTAATGACCAATGACATAATTCAGTAATGTCATTTAAAATTAATACTTAATAAGAAATCACCTATTCTTAACACATAATAACATCCCTATTATTCCAATGATACAGATTCCATGGTCAGCATCCCAGCCTTGGGGACACTAGCTAGAAAGTTTGGCTGGTAATGTATAACAAGAGCCAGAGGAGCAAAGCCACCTAACCTGTGTGAGATATGAGGAGCAAGGGAATCCCTCTGATCTGTTAGATCCCTATTGCTCACAGTTCACTGTCACTGTCTCTTTCAAAAGGAACCACTTATCTTCATAATACATTGCACTTCTTTATATTTCTTTCTTAACGGACGTAAATTTTTTCAGGTGTATGAAAACATGATGTTTATTTTTGTGACCCCTGGTTTTGAATAGCAACTAAGAATGTTTATGTGAAATGTCCAACAACCTACTAAATACGTAGCTAATGAAACAATAATCTTTACAAACAATATGTATTGGATAGGTGATGAAATGATGTAAAGGTAAGTCACACCACAAAAAGTGCAAAATTTAAGTCAATGAGGTTTGGGGTCTTTTAATTTGTTCAAGTGGCTTTAAGTTAGGCAGATACATATTTTTATTGTCCATTTGAGAGCTTTATTAGGAAAAACTGCTGAGGCACAGTTGTAGTTTAAAACCAGTAGCACTCAGCAAGTGTTAAGTGCAGCAGGCAAGTGTATTTGTGTATTTTGGCAAAGAAGAGGATAACTTCCTTCTTCATTGTTAACTTATGGAAGTTAACAGTGTGTTTACAGTTGCATATCATACTTTAGTTAGTCTGTGGCTTTCATGCAAGTCCAAAGAAAGTCAACCAGGAGGATCAGCATTCCAGAAAAATGGAAAAAAAAAGACCACAATTTGCAAGAATTATTCTGTTGAAGAAAAGATAAAAGGTTTAGAATCAAGTACATGAAAGGTTGCTGCAAAGAGGAAAATAATAAACTGTCCTCTTTGTCTGTGGGGAGCAGCACAAGAATAATAATGCACTTAAATTGTAGTGAGGGAGATTTAAATTAGACATTAGGGAAAACTTTATAAATGTAAGGTTGGTGAAGGACAGCAGGTGATTTATTAGAGATGCTGCAGCATCCCTGGTGTCAATTTTGGGAATGAGTTAGGGAAACATCTGGAAGACCCAGGTTATTGATCCTTGTTGGGAGCAGAGGGGTGGTGAGATGGCTCCTGACATCCCTACCCTCCCTGCCTTGCCCAGCTTTTTTAATATGCAATGAGGTTAGAAGCTCTGAACTGCTTTGTTACCCTGGACTGTTTTATGATTCTATGACTTATTTTACCCTTGTTAGGGTATAAGATAAAGTTTTAATATACTTTTCACTGGCAAGTTTCCATAGCTTTCTTTTCCCAAGACAGGTGTTGAGAGAATAGTCAAATCCAAACAAGATTTGGATGCAGTATGTCTATTTAACACTATTTAAACCCTGGTTTTCTGTAATTTGTCAGTAGTCTTTGTTCATAACTTGTAAACAAAGTATTTTTTTCTAATAATTTGAGACAAAATTCACATATTGTTATTGTGTAAAATTGAACATCAGAAATTTATGGCTTAAGTTCTGTTTAAGGGAGATTTGCTGAAATTAACTAAAATGGTGATTGCAAAGTGTCCCTTTTTTATATGTATATAGAAGCATAAACAAAGTCCCTTTTATTTGGAGTCTACATGGCATTACATCCTTTTCCACATTGATTTAAACTTTTGTTCTCCAGAAAAGGTGTTATTTACAGTAAAATCCTACGGTATTCAAAGTAATATAATGTGTCTGGTCACAGCTGATGAAGACATTGTTTTCTAGAATAGATGGTAAAGTTCATTGGAGCATTAAAAGAGGGTA